TTAAAATTCGCGCGCTGTATATTTTCCGATATTTTAAGTTTATGTAGTTTGGCAGCACTAACCACAATTACTATGCCAAAAATGAGCGCGATCTGTCAGACAGTTCGTTTACGGCAGCTGTTGAAACCAGTTCACCTCAGTAGTGCGTTGCGAAAAAAACAATGGAAAAAAATATTGGACAAAGAGTTTGCATCAAATTTTGTGTTTCGAACGAAATTTCGTGTGCAGAATCGTTGCGAATGCTACAAAAGGCTTATGGGGAATCAGTTTTATCGAAAACTCAAGTTTATGAGTGGTACAAAGCCTTTCAGGACGGTCGTACGACCGTCGAAGACATTTCGCAACGCACTACTGAGGGGAACTGGTTTCAACAGCTGCCGTAAACGAACTGTCTGACAGATCGCGCTCATTTTTGGCATAGTAATTAAGGACAGTGCTGCCAAACTACATAAACTTAAAATATCGAAAAATATACAGCGCGCGAATTTTAAATGAGAATTTCCGAAAACTTTTCAGTCTTAATGTATATTAAAATATATTAATATATTAAATTGTTATAAAAATATTAATAATATATATATATAATAAAGTAATAAATGAAAACCACACCCAAATACAACATACAAATAACATTCTGTCAAATAAATTTTAAAATTTAAAATGAACGCATTAAAATAAAATGTTAAAACCTTTGCGTTGCAATGTGCGCCATACAAAAACAAATACACGAAGCAATGTGAAGCAATAAAAAGAAAAATTGTTGTGCTCTCTGTTTTGTTTACTGCTGTTTTTCTCTGTGTGAGCGGCGAATAAGAGCAACAATGAAATCGACCAAAGAAGAACGACGTTAGTTGTACATCGATTGTTGTTGAATGCGTTATCTTATGTGTTAAAAACGATATTTAAAGTGTTAATAAATGGATTTAAAAGAAATAATTTTAAACGAGTTTAAATTAGGAGAAGATGCTCTAAATAGAATAATTGGTAATAAATATTTATAAATACCTACAAATTTTACAATAACCACATTTTCTTTTTAGCCTTCGGATTGGAAGCTGATGATTTACAATTTTTAACAGAAGATGACATAAGGGAACTTTTTCCATTAAACATGCTTCGTTCTAGAGTACGTTTTCGTGCGAAAATAAATGATTGGAAGGAAAAAGTAAGAAATTTTAAACAAATTAGTTTGTACAACAAGTGTGTTTAGCAAAAATTTCATTAAAATTTGAATGCACGTATGTGTATATACATACATTTATTAACTAATCATTATGAAATTAAAGAAAACATGTAGACCCAACTCGACCATATAATAATGTGTTGAAAGAAATATAACACAAAAGAGAAACCGAAAACGTTGTTATGAACATGTAGTAAAAACAAAATTACAAAATTAATTTGTAAACAAACGTTACCCGAAGAAAATCCGCTGACAAGTTGGACCAACAGAATTTAGTTGCGACTCAACCATTATCAACAACGAACATGCCATTTTAAGTATGAATAGTATTCATACTAATTTCATAATAATCTTTATTTTAGTTTTGTTGCTGATAATAATATAAGTAAAGTAACTAAACAAAAGAAAGTTGTGTAAAAACAAATTTGTGTTTTAACTGTCAATTCGTACTTCTATAAATAATGGAAAGTATCAGCCCAACGCTACTTTAGGATAAACTTAACTCGTTTAAGTTATTCCGGCTCTATATTAAAACTCTGTACATTATGTGTAAAATTTCATTGATCTGAGCTTGCAGTTTAGAAATAAAATTTAAACATACATAATAAATTCATTCTAATTTGTAATACTAATAACATAGCTAAACTTCTTCAAGATTAATTAGCATAAAAAATTTTTGCTATAATGGCCTATCAATAAAATAATCAATTTTTTACCCTTTATAATAAAAATAGAAAAAATAAAGAGGTTTTTTTGAAAAGTAGTGAGCTACAACAACAATAAATAAAAGAAAAAATATTCATTATTATTATTCATTATTATTATTAGAGCAGATAATGAAACACCGTGTGACCTATACAAACATTTGTATCATCTCTGGAGAGAGTCTTTTAAGCCGACCAAGTCAAATAAAGACTATCGATAAACCGAAAAATATCACTTGATCACTTCGTTCTATTGAAATCCGAATGGAAAATGTACCCATTTTCTGCAATTGCAGAGCCTTAGTAGATTAAATGGGCAGACATTTTACTCTGCTTTTTACAAAAACTGTAAGTGACACAGGCGGTAACCTCTTCTCTCCAAGGTTAATTAAGTGGGGTCAATTAAGAAAGAAGTGCTTAATTTGACTTCAGATCTATTTAAAATATAAAATAAGTCATTTGCAATGACTAAAGTGGAGGGCAAGTTTAGTTAAATCATTGTTTTTCGATATCCACAACTTACCCATAACTTATTCTTTAAAATTTGTAAACTTTGAAACATTGCAATGTTTAAATATATATTTCTTAGCTTTCGGGTTGTTTAATTTTTTTCTTATAAATGATTTCATTTAGGATATAAAATGAAAAGGTTTTTCAATACAGTAAGTGTTTCCAGTTCAAATATCTTCATTATTTGAATTGATTTTTCTACTTTTATTTACTTATATTTATTATTTAAGGGCTATTATCTTAAACTTTAAAAATAAAGAACTGTTGTAGTTTTTGTATTTATATTTATTTATTTAGTCATTTTCTGTATGAAGTTGCTAACGTTTCAAAGTTTTTTATCTTTATCTGGATGGATTTAGATTAATTGAACAATTAATCTTTCAATCCTAAAATTAATGTTATTTATAGCGGATTAATGTATTAAATTATATTCTAGATGTGTTGTTTTGTAGCAGTAGCAGTTAACTCATATTGATGTTATTGGTATCCTCTTCTATCTATGTTTTTTGAATGTATGGCTCTTCTTAATTTCTTTTAAATTTATTTTAGTTATCTTCAGATACTTCGTTTGATGCTGAAAATTTAACTGAATCTAGTCAAAACTCACAACCATCGCTAAAGGTAAGAAACATACACTTTTACTTCATTTATACTTGTTAATGACTTTAATTATTAAGTCTTTACTGCAAATTATGCAAGAATCATCGAATGGCAGAAGGATTCTCCAATACTATGAAGAAAATTCAAATCTTAGCAATAAAGAAAGAGAAGGAATAATTGAAATTATTTTAGATGAGTACTGCATTTACCAGAAACGTAAACTTAAACCAGAAGATATGAAAACATTAGCAGACGAAATAATTCAATTGTTTTCATGTGAAAAGAAAAACTATGTAAGTTTAAATTAATTACAAAAATTTAATATTAATAATTCATTTGTGTAATTTTTATATAATAGGACTATTACTACATTCCTCGTCAACGAAAAAAAAGTCCAAGCGGGAAGTTGTTTTCAAAATATTTTAACATTCGAACAAAACTACGTAAATTAAGTGAAAGTCATAAAGCAGCTTTTGAAAATGATGAATCTATGGAAATGGATCAGGTTGTGGTTAAAACTGAAGCTGTCGAATATATGGATATAAGTGTCAACCTTTCTTTAAAAAATGATTTATCAAAAGACACCATTTCCTGGGATGAAGTACTAGATAAATGGCGGCAAACTTTTACTTTACGACAAAGTGATCTTACAACATTTACATATGTTGAATTTTTATCTCAATGGCCTAAGCTGAAAGATAAAAGGGCTCCGGAATTGGTCAGTCAATTAATTTATTAATTACGTAGATTGATTGATTGTATTATTTTAATTGCCTTTTATGTATGTAGATCAACATCGATTTTGGATTTTTATTTCCAAAAAAACAAAATTTATTAAAGACTAAATGGAGTGATTTCAAGAATAGAGTGCGCTTGTATTATGAAACAAACATTCGTAATAGCAAATCTAGGGATCTCTTCGTTTTGTCCAAAATTACAAAAAAATTAAGTAAAGTTTAAGTTTTCAGTTAATAAACACAGATTAACCAAAATTCTATTTTTTTAGATTGCGAAGACTATATCTTAACTTTACTACTAAACTCAGTTCTTTTACCAACTGCAGTTTTTAAGAATGGTGAAGGGAATAAATCAAAAAAGGTATCAATTGAGGATGCAAATGAAGGCTTAGTAATGGAATTACCTTCAATCAATGATTGCCATAAAAAAATTGAAGAACTAAACAGCAAATATTATGAAACAAATTCAGGAATTCAACCATACTTAATAGTGGAAGGAAATCCTTCAGAAGGCTTGAAATCTTTTTACATTTACTTAAGTGGAACTATATACAAATTTAATTCCTTCTTGGATAGTTTGGATATTTGTTTTAAATTGTACCATGTTCTGAATTTGAAATACCCTAAAGTATGTGAGATCCCTTGGACACTGATTCAGAAATACTTATTTGAAATTGACACTGTTAATGATTTGAAAAATGCAAATTTGAGTGTAATGTTAACATATTTGCAAAGTGAAAATTAAGTCATCAAAAATAATTGTTTGAAATGAACACAGGTAATAGTTAAAAGTAAATGCAAAACAAATTATCAATCTCTAGTGCTTGAGTTCATGTATACAAATTTTCAATTTGCAAAATTAATCAAGTGTACCAAGTATCAAAAATACATGTACCAAAATCAATCCTTAAAAATTACTCACCCATATTTAGAAGTTTTAATTGTTTTACTCTCTAACTATTTATGCATTACAAAACGATTTATTCGAAATTAGCTACGAAAAAGACGACTATTTTAAGAAGTAACGGTCCATGTATACATATGACTGATATTAGGTCGTAAATAGTAGATTATTTTTTTTTTCAATTATTTTTCTACATTTTTTTAATTTTATGTTTTTTGATTTTTGTCTGCATGATATGCTCTGTATGTTTCCCATGCTACAAAATTTTAAAATAAAAATTATTTTTAACCATTCAACGAGATTAGAAGTTAGTATATACTAATTATTTTCCTATTTTTTTTAAGGATTGTTTGCAAATTATGTTCAGTGTTAGACACTGCATATGGCTTAGTAATTTAACATAGTACCGTTGTTTTGCATCAGTTCTGTACTGTAATGGAAATCAGTCTAATATTATTTTTATTAATATTATTGACATCAACAAGATACGTATAGTTTTTTTTTCAAAACTTAGTTCTTTGATACAATTATTTAAACTAATTACCTAACTGTAAATAACATTACATATCGCGATTGTGTACGAGTGAAATTTATATTACATACAACATAACTTATTTATAACTTGTATTCTAAAAAAATATATAATAAATAATTCTAATATAATTTAAATTCCTTCGTAAGTTCAGTTTTATCAATAGGTTATAAATTAAGTAATTTTACATTTAATTAATTAATTGATGTACATACATTTATCTAAATTTTAGTAGAAACGTGAGTTTTCAAAACAAATATACTATTTTGAGCTCAATAAAAAAATAAAATACTTAGTATCCAATAAAAAGTATTGCTACGTATTTAATAAATTGTATTTTATTATAATATATAATTAATAACTTTCTGTATTAAATCACATAAAAATTCAGTTATAGGACTAGCAAAATTTATTATTAGGTTATTTGGAGGTCCCGATCGTACAAAAACCATTATATTATAATATTCAGTATTAAAAAAGTATTATTTTTAGGTTCCCTAATATATTTATTATTAGCTTTACTTTATACAGATATCATTTAAATTAGTAGTGTGTTTGAATGCAATAAACCTTACCAATGATTTCAATAATTGTTAATTGTCTGTGCTGATGAACTTCGAAAACTGTTTTTAAAATTCGATATTAAAAGAGTTAGTTCTAGTTTTCAAGTCCTTTTTAATTCATCTAGTTTTTTTATTCTCAGGGTACTTTCTCAGATTTAGCCACATGAACGAATTCATACACATTTACAAAAAGGTTACTTTATTCTACGTATGTTAAATAACTGGGTCGTCTTTTTAACTACGAAGTTGTAAGGTTGTTAGCAGGTTATCTGATGATTCACTATAAACCGCGCTACCATTTCGAAAGAATGCTATTTCTATCTAGAATAAATAAAATTTATAATCATATTATTTGATTGTTCGGTCGAATGCTTGAATCGAAATCTGATATTAGGAATTGCTGAGCGAGAAACATTCGGAAATTCATTGAAAAGACTGAATGTCTTTTATACATTTAAAAGTTTGCAGAAAGCAGCTACAATGAAGGCAGTGGATCGCCGCACTTTGAAACTAAAACAATTTATTTGTTATTTATATTTATTTGTTTATTTTTAATTTTTTTATTTGACCCATGACCTATAAATTTGTGCAAGTCCTTCTTTGTCCTTTTTATAGTTGAGTCTTTGATTGTCCGGAATATAAATTATATGCCGCATTTGAGTCTTTATTGATGATCTGAACTTCTTCAATAATTAGAGTATAGTTCTGTCCGCTGGTGTTTACACCACCAATTCTCTTTCTTAATTTATTTTTTGGAATTTTATATATAATGTCGTATATCGATGCTGAATGAATTTCTCATGTTGAATAAACGTCTATTCAAATTTTGAGCTGTATTCCGAATTATATGATGAGGGTCTTGAGAATTAAAATTAATATATCGTCCAGTGCATATTGTTTTTTGATACCAATTTATTTTGAGTTTGTTGTTGTGTCTAATAATGTACTTTTATCAATTTCTCGTCTTTTCTGAATTATATGTATCTATATAGGTTACTGTATTTAGTATTTATTAATATTAGTAAGTATTTAGTGTACTATCTATGGTGTCAATTTTTATTACAGCAAATATATTGTCTATAATCTAGGCTTTAGAGCTGCTTCGTTCATAATTTTGTCTAGGATATTCTCCATAAAAAATCTGCAACAACGGCTGAGATAAGTAAATTTTATTTTCAAATATAAATTAGCTATTTTCTTTTAGGTGAAACTATATGCCCGGTCAAATTTAATTTTGTTTAAAAAAAAAATTCAGACATTAAAAAACTTTTGTACAAGAATTTATTTTTACCACCTTGAAAGTGTACATACATATATTAATATCTTATAAGTTTTATAAACCATTTATTAATACAAAAATAAATCCATATATATCTCCCATACTTTAATTCGATGTTTCATTTTATTAACTGTATAAATTTGAAGATGCACACAGTGGACAAGCATATCAATAATATTTCATTATACTCTCATTTCACACATCATTTTTACCAGTGTGCAAATTTTAATATACACGCGTATATACATATGTACACAACATGTATAAATTAACGTAAAGAAACATAAAATTTTTCCCTAACGTAAAAATTGACATCTACACGAGAAACGCATTTGTATACTCCAAGTACCCACTTGATGGCAAACGGATTCACTCAAGTACAAAAAACGTGTACAACACTCGCTTCGCAAACAAGTCATTTTACCCAATGACTCATTCTGCTCAGAATATCGGATTCGTTTTACAATTCAGTCATACCTACAAAGTCTACTGAAAATTTTATACTCGCTCTTGCTTTGCTTACTGTACACGTTCCGTGTTATTCACTCAAGTAAAAACAACCCGTGCGGGCACACAAATAAAAATTCGAGAAGATAATGTAATGCAGAAAACGAAATGTTTTGTTTCTAGTCTTTTTCTTTGTATTGCGATATATAGTCACCGAACGAATATATTCAGTAGTAGTCGGAGGTCATTTATAGTGGAATACGTAACGCGGCAGAACTGATATCGAAAATATTTGTAAATGGATTTAAAAGAAATTATTTTAAACGTATTTAAATTGGGATATGATGCTCTAAATAGAATAATTGGTAATAAATACTGAAATATTTCTTCAAATTATAAAATAATTTATTTATTTTTAGAGTGTGGATTGGAAGCCAGTGACTTACAACATTTAATAGAGGATGATATTAGAGAGCTTTTTCCAGTAAATATGCTTGGCATTAGAGTACGTTTTCGTGTGAAACTTAATTCTTGGAAAGAAAAAGGAAATATAAGTGTAAGAATATAAGTTATTACAATCAGTTCTACTAAATTTTTAACAAATTCGTTGAAAAAAATCAATGAGTCTATGTATTTATACAGTATTATTCATAGTAACCTCTTCAAAAATTAAGGCATGTTATGTTAACAAAAGAAGCGGGTAAAAACAGTATATTTGAATTCTGTTTTAGTCTAGTGTTTATCATATGTCAAAAGCAAAACAAGTAAAAACACGTCGTGGAATATATCGGACAGATATTTTTGTTGTATAAAATCTTTGGTGTTATTATATCCATAAATAATATAGTTTTACATTAAAATAGCGAAAAATGTGTGAATATATGTACATATATAGATTTATGTAGTATTATGCGTTATCGGCCAAAATAATAATTTTTTTAATACACTGAAAAAAATTTATGAATATATATAGATTTAAGTATTATTTGTTATCAGCATTATATTAAGGGCACTTATCTAAGCATATAAATTTATCAAATGTATAATTTTATGCGTTTACGTACACGGTTATATAAACGCACTTAGTAAATTTACCAATTAGCTGTATGACAGCACTATTTTTATATCAGCAATAATTATAACAGCACAAAATGGAATGCTTACCAGTGCAATTTTTTCAACCAAACTTTTAGCCAATAAGGGTAAAATATTAAATATTTATGTAAGCTTCATAGATTAACTGTCTCACTATTAATAAATAAATAAATCAAAATGCCGAAATTAAGCAATAAGTCCAAACTAAAAAGTATTTACAAAGATATTTGTGTAAATAACTTGCTTGTGTTGACATGCAACTCTGTATTGACAAAATTTAAATTTATGCAATAAATTTATACGGTAAAATTTTCGTGTAATTTAATCAAGTTTTTATAAACGATTTTTCATACAAGATTTGACACTTAACTTATAAAGTAAATAAATTTATACGTTTATAAGGCATTTATCAGCTTATATGACTACACTTATTAATTTTTTTAATTTTTTTTTTTCAATACTCTAAGAGAAATGTGAGAATATATGTTTTATTCATTATCGAGCAAAAAATTAATTTTTTCAATACTTTTAACGAGTGATGCCCAGTTCTTACCACTTTTTGCCTATTTTTTTTCCGGAAATCGTACAAAGTGACGCATAAGATCTTTGTGCTATTATTTACAAGAATTTAGTTGCAATGAGCTAGTGCATCCTACTTCATTAAATATAAATTAAAAGAAGTAAAGTAAAGAAGTTACTTGTGCTCGATTAAGAAATAATCCTAATCCACTAGTTCATAAGTTCCTAACCCACTAGTTTAAAACATAAGTTCCAGCGTTAATTCCTTATTTCTGTGCCTTTATTTCCATTACGAAGTGTTGAGCATCACTTCTATTAACACTGAAAATATATATGCACTAGGATGGCCGAGCAAAATTTTATTTTTCTGATAAGATTGGTTTAAATACACCTTAGCCAAAAAAAAAGAATTTAAAAAAAATTTTGAAAAAAAAAATGATATTAAGGTGTACTCCAACACCTTCGACAGTAAGGAACTTGGGCACACTTTCCATCTTGCAACTGCAAACACAGCACTTTTTTAAATAATACTT